TATAATCGAAGAATTCATCAATTTTTTCATTTAAAATATTAAATATTTTATTTATATTATATTATATTTTGCTTTTTCGTAAGTCTGTATCGGGAACCAATTTGGATGTGCGTTGCCTGGAATGTCGAGAACCAATTYGGATGTCAATTTTCAGGTATGGGAACCAATTCGGATGCAGCCGTATATATACCGGGCACTTTGCCAATTCAAAACACATTCTTCAATCAACACTACCATCGTCAACATCGAAATAATCGTCGACGTACACCAATGAATGACGAACACAGTGTTGGATACGTACGCRYCGGACCCAAGCATTGAAGATACTCGTGACTCGTGAGACGAGGCGGCAACCAACGAATATCGTGCTGTTACCTGTGGACTACGCTCTGGACCATGATTTAAGATAATACTGGTTAGACGACGAGTAGAGATAATTGATTTTTTGCGACTGGCAAACTGAATCGCCATATCAGCAGCTGCTATAGAACTAATGCATGGCGCTGTCAGTGAGCATTTCGTGAACTAGATATCATCATTTTTTCCCGGGCTTTTGAAATAAGTTTTAAACATGGTTTAAGTCGTTTAAGATAGTATAGTATTATCTTAAATCATGATTTAAAAATTTAAAATATATATTTAATCATGATGTAAATGTAAAGAGGTTCCWTAATCCATATTCCATGATATTATAATGAATGAATYGTTTGTATTGAAACACCTAGTTATTCTTATTACAAGATTTGTACAATTGTTTTTATACAAATATATATTATATTCACGAAYACAATAATTTYAAATATTATATTAAAATGAAATGTTGTATTCCATCCTGCAATGAATTTAATTCTAGTATTTTTAGTGTACCTAAAAATGTATTTGATGTATGGGAAAATTCACTAAACATGAAATTGAAACCAAATTCAAGAATTTGTGAAAAACATTTTAAAAAAAAGAGGATATTATAAAGACATGGGTTTCAGGTAGCAAACAAGAGAACCAGTATACAGTATGTATGTATATTTGATTATTATTCTTACTATATTACTTCAATAGGCAGATAGGTACTTAGGTACTCTAAAATATCATTGTTTTCCAAATGTTTACTATGTAGTGTAAAATTGTACTTTAAAAAAATTAACAAAGCTACATATCGGTATAATTTTAATTGTTTTAAGATATGTYATAAAAGACCAAAACTTCAGGAAGGAGCTATTCCTACAATTAGTGTTACAACAGAACAAAATATATTGACAGATTTATCAACTTCAGAAATGGTACAATATTAAGTTTGTTATTTACTCAAAAACATATTATATGTAAATGTAAATGAAACTTGTTAATTAAATAGMTAGGTGTGGTAATAAAGGTGAATCAATAGCATATACATAAAGCAATGATCGATCAATATTTTTCGATTCTAATAGTAATAACTCAATTATCTCAATGATGTTTGATAGTTGTACACTTGTACTATTCCAAGAAAAAGAAAGGTACCTCTTATTATTAAACAAATCAAAACTATTAATAATTATTTTTGTTTATGCGTTTTAAAAAGGCTCTTGAATACATTCAAAGTGATCACAGCTATTCTAGTAACTCGTCTAGTCATAGTGAACCTACAAATTTATTTGAACATTTATCAAGATCCATAAACATAATTAGTTTGCCACCAAAATGGTTTAGGGATATTAACCATGAATCTAAGGATCTAAATAAATCATTTATAGGGTTTCACCAATYGRGTCTGTGTAGAGATGATTTTTCAAGGGTTGTTAAAAAACAAWTTATTTTAACTGAAGGTGTGTTTTAATTGATTTAGATTAATTAATTAAATACTAATAATTAAAAATATTATTAACAGATTGTAGTTTAATCATACATGTGTATGGTGTGGTAATAAACGTCGAACAAATAGGTTTATTATCTAAATTAGTAAAAACTTGAATTACCAACATAATTAATAGAAATAACCCAAATTAAATATTTGTAATTTTAAAATATTATGTTATACTTGTAAATATTKTTGTTAATAAACTGATATTTAGTTATAATCTATATTCTATAGTTGATTTATAATTTATTCAATTTTATTGTACATAGATTATCTAATATATAAAAATGTCGTRTAATGGTATTAGTTGTTGAACTTCTCCAGTTTTAATGACTTTTTRTATATTTGGTTGTTAAGTATTTGTCACTTTTCTAGGTCTAAACTGGGGAGGTGSTCAATCAGGGATTTTTACGGTGGAAATATTTGTTATTGATTATAGAAGAAAAAATAAGTGGAAATAAGTATTTTTTATTTGATTGCCATTAGTAAATAAGGCARATTAGGTGCGAGCATGCATCAAATAAAATTAGTGCACATTGCCTACTTGATAATATGCTTTTGCATATTGTCCGCTCCCCGCAGACTGCGATCTGACGTAGTTGGATTGTCTAGCAGGGAGGCTGAGTAATGAGTTGCACCCAAAAGGAGTTGAACAATCATCAATGGTCATTTACAATTTTTTTACCGGCAACTTACATAGTGCGCGGGAATGCAGCCATGCAGGATCAGCTAATATTTGTATATCATTTTCTCATTTGGAGCGCCCATAGTCAATTCTGACACATAATTCAGATTACAGATTCTGTTTGACGGTCACGTTATCACATTTCGTCGTCTAACCAGTATTATCTTAAATCATGCTCTGGACCAAAGCAGCGAAGACATTCGTTTAACGAGACGATAACCGACGAACACCTTGTGTGTTGGTACCTGCGAGGCTGCGAACTACGCTCCATATTCAACAGAGAAGACACTCGAGGGACRAGACAGCGGCCAACGCAGGCAACATCATTCACATAWATGAAAATTCGCTTTGTGTAAACCTGCCAGCGATTCACACGCGGTTGTRCGTACAGTTGACCTACCATCGCGACTGACAAAAAAGGTTCTTTTCAGAACCATAAGTTCAGTTCCACCCCAGTGAGCCTGCTCAGGTCTTCACTACGAGCGCATAGCATTTTCCACGTATTATACAAGACCGTGGCAGAGTGTGTGCAACTCCGTCCCATTAGACATTGTATAATTATTGTTAGGATCCGAAATTGTATATTTTTTGGTCACGCCTCTACAGGCCTGACACCGTCTGTTGCGGTCTGCTTATCCAAGCCGACTGCACGGTTCGGAAATAACTTATTCCACATTTAATTGTACTGTCATAATGTTAAAGTTGAACCAATAAACGGATATGTTTATAAAAAAACGCAATGATTTTTAATTATTCATGATCTCGGGCCGTCGGAAAATGACGGACCGTATCAACTATAGTTTCACTATATATTTTTTTTTCTTAAACATTTTCATGTAATATTTTTTTTACAAAAATAGGACGGTCATAATTATTGATAAAATTAGTTAARTTAAAAGTAAAATAATAAGTCATTAAAAGTTTTCGAGAAGTTGAATATTATTATAAATTAAAAATCTAATTTTACTTTTATTTAAATCCAGTAAGGTTTTATATAAACTACAAATGATATTTTATCAGATTTAGCTTTTTTTACGTTCTAAATATTAATTCAGATTGATTTATCTGTACATTATCAAGGCTTTATTTTTCACAATGTACTATTTTTTTATATATTTATAAGTGTATTGAAAATTAAATTTCAAACAAAAATATTGTAGTATAAAATTTAATTTTTGCTCAAAAATCATTAAAAACAAATGTTATTCCTAATAAGTAATAATTAAACTATTAAAGTATAAAGTTCTCATGTGAATGAAAATTTATATTAGTTGAAATAAAACATAACAAAAATATAAAACTTAACTTAGACCATATCCATGGTTAGATATTATAATGTGTTCTAAAAAAAAAATATTTATACAAGCATATATTCATTTTATATTTATATAATTTTAGTATGATAAATCTTAAGTTTGCAATTCTAAAGTTTGTATGTTTAATTTAATATATTCTGCCTCATAATAGCATATTATAATCATTTATTATACATAGTTAATATTATAGTCAGATTCACTAAAAGCTTTATTATTCTTCTGGCTAAGCTAACAATAACAATTAAAAAAAAAATATTATTCTGATAATTTTATCTTAAACTTGATGTATATTTTATACCAAAGACAATAATATTAAAACATATGCAATTTTCATGATCTGATTTTTCATTAAATCATGTATGTAAGTACGTATATTTTGTTTCCGAGAATACACAATAATGTATAAACTTAAGAATTACTTGAGAAAATTTATTTGACATTTTTACAGCCATAATCATTACAGTTAATATCAATTATTATACATTTTTTTATACCACCTATATAACCAGTATGGTGGTATAAAAAAATTTAGATATGATTTCTTCAAATCTAAATTTTTTTATACCACCTATAGAACAAAAAAAATAATCGTAGATCTTAAGATTTTAAGATTATATATTTATTTTCAGACGCGTGCTATTCTTATGAACACTCCATGGCTTATATAGTATACTATATGTCTATATGRCTATATKTATGTRCACAGGGTCAATGTATAACATATAAGTAACTGATATAATACATATATACTGATTTAAATGCTTTAAATTGGTTTCAAAATTCTTTGTACGAGTGTATCGAAAATCATTATCCGTTAAAATTAAATATCATTAGTTGGTATTAATACRCAGTACAGGTACCTAACTCACCCTTATTTTATTAGTAATTTTTTACAAATATTTTTATTCTTATTTGTAGTTTTTATGGATTTTTTAAAATTATATATCATATTATGATGTATGTATATAATTATAAGGTACAATTTTATTTCATATACCTACGTTATTACTTTTTTTTAAAGGTTTTATTTCCATTTGAATTTCGTTTGGAAATTATTGTAAACTAAAAAAAATTTTATATTACTCATTTAACTAAAAAAATAGTATAAATATTTTCTGCGATAGTGACATTTCATATGATTATAAATGTTTGCTTTTTGTTTCAGAACTACCTAAATCAAAACCAGTAATTGTGACGGATAAAGACAAATATGATCCAGGTGATAATCTAATAGCAAATTGTACATCACCACCTTCTAAACCTGTGGCCAGTTTAAAATTCTTTTTAAACAATATGCTAGTGAGTATAGTAATGCAAAATATTTTATTATGTACTATTTATATTTAATGATGAAAATTTGTTGCTTAAGGATCTAAAAACTATTTATTTTTTTATACTTGAGAGTTTTGTGTGTATATTTGATTCATATGCAAATTTTTCTCGTGGTAAGGGAAGTGGGGTTGTTGTACTATGAAATCATCGCGAATGATCCCTAGTGATATTTGTGTTTTATTTTTATTAGATCTTTGACCAAATTTAAAAATTATAGCAGCAATATTTTTTAAATAGATTATATTTTTAATCCGAATTTAGTCAATCGAGTTCATTCTTCCATAATCTTTGATATGGTTTATTGTACCGAAAGTCATATGGACTATAATATAGGTACCTCTGAAGTATAATTTATGAGATTCCAGTTGCCAGTTTGCCACATTATACGTAACCAATAGTTGATTTAGATTTATTCGAATAGTTCGTAATTAGTAGCCATAAATACATTTTAATAGAAGGTAATAATCATTAAGTGTATAATAATATATTATACGTATATATATATATATATATATATATATTACAAGTTACGCATGCAATTTGTACATAAGTTGCTTATTACATTGTAATGAATTTTTAAGTCTGAGAATTCAGTTTTCTTCATTAACAAATTTATTTATTTATTCACATTAATATTCATAATATAATTTAAATAATTGTACACACATACTTATACATAATATTATATAAGAATATATAAGATAGATATGATTACATAAAATAATTTCTTTAAATTACTTGGYGGATTTAGATAATAGTAAATCTCAATTAATATTTGACACAAGGTATATTCACAAACATATATATATTAATTACTCACAGTTATGTATAGGTATATGATTTTATAATAATGATGTATGGTACGAATGTACGATGGTGATGTTAAACGGTGTTGTTGCAACTTGCAAACTAAAATACGGGATGGACATCATATTCGACGAGAGATATTCCAACAACGGAAATAAAAATACAGGGTGTATCTTATGTCGTTGTACGCGAGGGTTTTTAACAATTGTGGATCGATAACATGGAATTTAAAAAAAAAGAAAAAAGACTTGCTTCTTTATTTTAAACGGCCAATGTTTTTATAACAATTTGAAAATTTTTAAGCAACTAAAGTTGCACTAACATCAAAATCAACATCTTTTTTCAAATAGTAACAAATATATTTTTTAATAGATTCTAATAGAGATTTTTTTTTTWAATTGATGTTAAAATCACACATTTTGGTTCACTGGTTTATTTATTACGGGCACCCTAAGCTTTAATAAATTGATTTAAACGAATTGTATTTTTAAAGATATAAATACACTTTTTTTAAATTTCTTTTAACAAAATTCTACACTTTTTTATAAACTTAAGTCAAAAATCTTATCATACACGCGCAAAAACAAAATAGAAATAGAAATATTTTTCTGTGATAATTGCCTACAAAACTGTTGACCATATTTTAACATATAATTATAAAATAAGTAAGTACATACGTGCTTACTATTATTGTACGATCCTCATAAATAGATTAATTAAAATTTTTTCTAACTATAGTTATTTTGTTTATTTAAAATAGTCTAAATTTAGATACTAAATTAGGCAGATAAAGTATTATAATAGTATTCGATTATTATTATAATAACATTGGAAATCTTTAATTAACTCATGATACAGATACCTATAATTGATAAATTAACTATTTATGTAAATAATTGCAAGTGGTTTATTTAAAATCATGATTATTTAAAGATTCTAGTATCTAACTTTATTTTTATTATTACGACAACATCGAAATGTTAAAAACAAGAATTTTTGATGAATGCCATAAATTAACACCTGCCAATTTTCAAAATATTCGTCAGGAATTCCAAGACCGATTATACTACCGTCAAGAAGTAAATTGTATGCAATTCGAACATTTAATTTAAATTTTATAATCATTTTAATTA